TTTTTTACATGTTGAAAGAAGCTTTTTTTGTTATTTTTGACTTTGGTCGCAAGCCTTAGTTCATTTTGAGCCTTGGCTTTCCTCACTTCATCTTTGCAGGCTCGGGCTATTTGCTGATATTCTGACTTAGTTATGTGCCCCTCTTTCCACTTTCTATACTTTCCCTTTTTATCTTTCAATTTGTCAGAGAGTTCTTTATGCAGCCATGCTGGTTTCTTTTGAGAGCTGTTATTTTTCCTCTTTGTTGGTATTGTGCTAGACTGGTTTCCTACTTGTGGAAAAGAAGGGCCAGAAAATGGCAGATCAAATGGAAAAAAAGTCATTCATTCATTCATTCATTCATTCATTCATTCATTCATTCATTCATTCATTCATTCAATCATTCGCAATGACCTGATCCAATCAAAAGGTTGTTTTTTAATGTTTATTTGTAAAAACAGTCATTTTTTATTTAAATTTGAACTAAAGGTTGTCTTTGAAAAGTAGAGATTAGGGGTCCTTAAATCATACTTTCATAGGAGCCAAAAAAGAAAAAAGATAAAGAAGTTATTGAATTAATTCAATGTCTGTAGACTCAAAGTAGATTTCATGTGCGGGTTTCTGGAAAGAACAAACTTTGCTAGTTCCAGTACACTTTTTCTTTAAGTCCCAAGCTAATCTACAAATTTAATTAGCGGGTGATCTCCCATTTAAATATTTATTAGTCAGATAATGATAAGCTGGACTTACAATGATTAGGGTCACAAGTTATGAAGATGACATCATATAGGGGAGACCAGAAAATAATTTTCTTTTTTTTAAAAAATGTTTCATATAGTTGTTTACTGAGTGAACAATCTTATGGGGGAAAAAACCCCACCAAAGATAAATGAAGTTGAAAATTTGAAAAATAAATAAATAGATAATAGATGATATGATGATAGAAGATCTATGACTGAATGGATTCCAATTGGGGGCTTGTATTAGGAAATGCTACCTGCCAGAATCTTAGGGGCAAACTTTAACAGTACAGAAATGAACATTCACCTTTAAAGTTACTAATTATATTAATTCTAAAGTAGTTTATTACATTTTGCTTAAATCTATCTCTAACCTACCATTTTGATTTGAAATCTTCCCTTCTGGACATGGAACACAGTCGTAGCAACAGAATTCTTTTTCTTCGACCCCTTTCTTCCAGTATCCAGGGGAACAATGATCATTACACAGAGAAATTGGAAGTACCTGGTCAAAAACATAAAAGGTTTTGTAAGGGGAGATTTTTAAAACAGTTTCTAATTCTAATTTTGCTTTTTTATGTCAGGAAACAAAATAACAGAATAACAAGAGTTTGAAGGGATCTTGGAGGACTTCTAGTCCAACCCCTTGCATAGGCAGGAGACCCTATACCAGGGGTGCAAAACGGCCAGCCCGCAGGACAGATACATCATACCAAAACCGTGCCCACCCCATTGTTGGCAATGGAAAAAAAAGTCATGATACATTGTAATACATCACATGACATTGTGAGTTTGACACCCCTGCCCTATACCATTCCAGACAAGTGACAGCCCAGTCTCTTCTTAAAGTTTCCAGTAATGAAGCACCCACAACCTCTGGAGGCAAGCTGTTTCTCTGCTTAATTGTTCTCAATGTTAGGGAATATTTTCTTAGTTCTAAGTTTCTTCTCTTCTTGATTAGTTTCCATCCATTGTTTCTTGTCTTTCCTTCTGGTGCTTTGGAAAATAGATTGATGACCCCCCTTTTTGTGGAAGCCCCTCAAGTTGACTTCTCAAATTACTACTCAATTGTATCAAATGGGATTTTTTCTATAAAGATGTTGAAATTACAAGGATGGGCAACACGACCTGCTTGCAGAAGGGCGGGGTGTATAAACGCTTTTGTGTGATGACAATCTTATGTAAACAACAGGAGTCCTATGATTTCAAATGGAAATGCATCTCAAATATGGAAACCTGGCTTTTAGAGTGTCGTGTCATTTTATCAATTTGCTAAATGCTTGAACACAGTCAGCATTTGCACTGAATACATCTCTTATTTCTCTCTCAAACCCCCCCCCCTTATATTCCGAAAGAGACTATGTTCAATATGCCTTTACAGACAAAGACATCTCCATGGTTATCATAATGGATCACAATACAGTCCATTAAATGTAAATATACCTGGTTAAAAGCTGGGTGCCAGGCAATCATATCTTCATCAATGAATAATTCTTTCCCTTTTGGAGCACTGGGATCCAACTCTCCAACTCTAACTTTCTGGAAAGATCTGTTAGGAAATGTGATCAGGTTGATGATGTCAAATCCACCCTTTGCTTCCCCTTTCTCATTCAAGAACACTCTCTCCCCAGCCGAATTGTTAAAAGAAATGCCTTGAAGAAATGGATGGAGCTGCTTCAAAGACAATGAGAGAGGGAATTGGAAGTATAACAACAGAGAGGAGACCAGCATATTCAAATTTAATTCACTCATTTTTCCCATTCCTGTAATAATGCTCAAATAAGTATATTGAGAAAATTGATAATCTATATTGTATGGAAATGTATAGGTCTATTCTATTATTAATTTGATCTTATTTTAAGGAAATATAGGAAATAGCATCAATCAATAAGAGCAAAATGAAAACAGAATATTTTGAATATGATTTCTATTTACTGTTCAAGTTGGTCAACCCTAGACACCATATATTGTCTTATCCTCCATTTTTCCTCTTCATAGTTAGCTTTTGAGAGGCTAGGACCTGACAAATTTCCTTTAATCAGATTTTAGAGATTCAAGCATTCTTTAGTTTAAGGGAGGAGGAGGAGAAAAGGAGTATGAGGAGGAAAGAGAGAGAGAGAGAGAGACAGACAGACAGACAGACAGACAAAGATGAAAAAACAGTACACTCAGGTTCTCAACCCTGAAATATCCATGAGCTAAGTAGACATATATTGGAGAATAAGTTATATGTACATAGATCTGAAATCACACAGACAAGAATTCCAAATAATTCTTGCAAGTATGAACATTATGGAAGACTGTTAAGGGAAAATTCAGCAGATTCTCTGTATACCATAACAGAAATTCATTGTTGAATTATATTTAATAATAATAATAAAGTTGGAAGGGACCTTGGAGGTCATTGAGTCCAACCCCCTGCTCAGGCAGGAACCCTACACCATTTCAGACAAACTTCCATTGTTGGAGCATTCACCGCTTCTGGAGGCAGGTTGTTCCATTGGTTAATTGTTCTAACTGTCAGGAAGTTTCTCCTTAGTTCTAAGTTGCTTCTCTCCTTGATCAGTTTCCACCCGTTGGTTCTCGTCCTGCCTTCAGGCGCCTTGGAGAATAGCTTCACTCCCTCTTCTTTGTGGCAGCCCCTGAGATTTCGACAAGATGAGTGCAGAGCCATTTTTTACATTGTGGTGACCAAAACTGGATGCAATATTCCAAGTGAGGCCTTACCAAGGCATTATAAATAAAAAGATCATGTGATCTTGATTCTATCACTCTGTTAATGAAGCCTAGCACTGTGTTTGTTTTTTTGGTTGCAGCACCCTGCTGACTCATAGTTACGTGATTGTCCACTAGCACTCCAAGATCCCTCTCACAGTTACTACTATTGTGCGAGGTACCACCTATATTGTACCTGTGCATTTGGGTTTTTTGTTTTTCTTTGTTGCTCTTTATTCCAAGAAGAAGAAAATGTCAACTTAGAAAAAAAATCAATAATTGAAATATGCAGCACAGATTTATTTTACTAATTAACAGAATTGGTTAAAGATTGCATGATTAGATGGGCTCAAAATATTCAAGAACCAATAAAGTTGGAAACTTGGGAAAAAATTTGGGTAAGAAATGTCAAGTTCACTCAAGCACAGAATTTAATGGAAAATTTCTATAAAATGTTTTATAGATGGCATTTGGACCCTCAAAAATTGTCTTGCATGTATCCGAATTTGCAACCAAAATGTTGGAGATGTGGTAGTATGGATGCCACTTATTATCATATTTGGTGGACATGTAGGGATGTTAAAGCCTTTTGGATTAAGATTTGGTGGAATATTCAACAGATTTTTAAGAAAAAGATAAAATTTACACCGCAGTTATTTCTACTGGGTATCATGGATAATTTGGATCAAAAAGAAACGAAAC